AAAGCCCAGGGTCTTAAATACCTGTTTGACAATAGAATTAGACATTTAGACGTGTTCCACGTGAAAAGCACAGGAAGCTTGCAGCTCCTGGACAGAACTAGCTTCCAAGCTGGAATCGCGCTTGCTTTCCCGCCGCTCTGGAAGGCAGGAAACTTTGTCTTACTCTGACCAGCAGCGCCCTCAGGAGTAAGCACTGGGATTCCAGTTAGCGCCGAAGAGTAGCCCTGAGGGGCTTACAGCTTTCGAGTGGGGAGGGGAAGGCAGGGAAGTACTGAGAGGGGGTGCAAATGTGTTCCGCCTCTGCAGGGCTCGCCTTCTTCAGGGACAGCTGCAGCAGAGCAGTTAGAGCATGTGCTTTGGTGGGCCGCACGTTGCATGGTGGTTAAGGCCTGGTTCCCACGGGGCCAACTCCATGGTCCGAGTCCCAGTGGTTTGAAAAGCATGCTGGACATGTGTGTGCATCGCCCCAAACCCTGAGAGAATGGACGAGAAGGGACTATAGCATGGCCATCCCTCCCCGGGAGGGGGGTCACTTTCCCTCTCTCTCTGTCTCCAACAAGCAAAAAAAAAAAAAAAAAAAAAAAGGCTTTGGAGTCTGACTGGTTTGAGAGGCTCCCAGCGCTGCTGCTTCTAACTTTAAGACCCAAGGTAAGCTCACTGCCAAAGCGCTGTAAGGGCGACGGTAACTACTCCTCGGGCACGTCCCAGTCCAGAGCAGGTGCCTCGCACGCCAGCCTCAGCCAGAAGGGGTTCGTGCCTGTGCTGTTCCCCTAGAGCTGAAGGCCGTAATGCCAGCACACTTCGTCCGCCTTCACTCAGCTCCCCCTAAACTAGACCCCTCAGGTAGGAGGCTTGCCCCTGCCGTTAACACTTCAGCTTCCCCCGCCTGCCCGTTTCCTCTCTCCCTCGGTTTTCCTGAGGAGTTTTCAGTATGCTGCAGAAATCTGACACTAGCTTTCCTGTCTCACCTGATTTCCCCCCCTCTCTCAGAATGTTCTTTCCATGTCAGGTGGTTTCATGGCCCTGCTGTTACTTCTAAAACGTCCTTCCTGCTTACCTCACCAGAAGCTTCCCCTGTCCACAATGCGTCCTTTAAGGCTCAGCTTAGTCTCAGCCTCTTCCAGGTAAAACCGTTGTCATGCCAGTCCTCTGTCTCTACCTTCACGAGGTCCCTCCATGTGCCTAGCGACTTAGAAGGTGCCAGGAGTGCAGCGGTAAGGGGGACCCGGCCCCTGCCCCCCAGGGGTTTACGCAGCCTGGCAGGAGGCGGGCAGGTGCCCTGCCGGGCCCCTCAGTCTCCGGGCCCCTGTTCTTAGCTGAGGCCTCCTGAGGACTTAATTACACGTTGTTCTCTTTGGACTTTAGAGGCCGTCTCATCTCCAAACGGGACTGCGTACACAGCGGGCACTTTAGAGATTAAATGCTGGCTCCATCGTCAGCCCCCAGCTGTACTTAAAAGGAGGATTGATTACCCAGCCATCACAATGGATCTTGTAAACTTGCAAAGATAACATTTAAAAACAAATTCAGTGGTGATGCTACGCTCCTGTGGTCACTGTAACCCCTGGTGACTAGAGGTTCCCAGACTTTGCGATCGAACCGACAGCGCGCTTATTAGTTGGGCGGCTCTAACGTGAAAATACAGACTGTCCTTCGCACTGAATAAAGTGAGCTTTGTGGAACACTCCCTGCGTCGCCCTCGTCTTTCTCACTTCATCAGGGAGCTCAGGATAGCGTCTCCGCAATCTCCGGGCTTCTGTCTGCCACTGAGAAGGCACACGGCCCGAACTGAGGCCCTGGGTACAGACCACACGGCCACGTACGTGGCTGGCTCGTGCAGGAGTGACCTCCAGCGCTAGACGCTACATCGCAAATGCTGTAGAAGGTCCCAAACGAGCCCCCACTCTTCCCGCAGAAATGAAACTGAACATTTTCTAGTCTTATTTTTGAGAGCTTTTCCACTAATCCCAGCTCCCCAAAGGTATGCGTGAGCTAGCTGCCCTGCCCTCTACCTTATCCTCGTGCCATTCAGAGGAGTATCCCCAAGCCCTCCCAGACTCACCAATTCCAAATCACTACCGAAGTGAGGGAAGTGAGGGAAGTGAGGCTGGGGAAGGGAGTGTCAGCCCAGGGCCTGGGCGGGGGCGCCACGGTTTAACTGCAGGGGAACCTTCCCTAAGGGCCAGCTCAGGTTAGCAGAGGCAGCCGACGTTCCAGGCGCTGGGGTACAGTAGGGGACAAGGCAGAGTCATGTGCGGGGCCTGACTCTAGGTAATGGTGACTGCCGTGAGGACAGCACAGCGGAGGGCGACAGTGGCAGGATAAAATAAATCCTCCCGAGGGCACAGACAGGTCACGGCGGCTCCCGGAGCGGCACGTGGGAGCACAGGGAACCCACCCGATGACTGCTCTGGAGCATCAGGGCAGCAGCACAGCCGGGCATGGCTCAGCACGCCTCCGACCCACACCGCCCGGCCTGGTAGGCGCTGACCGCGCAGCCGTCGGGGTTCCAAGGAGCCAGGCACACAGCATGAAGAAGTCCGTTTCTCAAACAAGCCGCTTCGTACGCGCTCAGTGGCTACATGTGGCCACTTTATTAGCAGAGACTAGGTGAGGCTACAGCTGACCCTCAGACTGTAACACAGGTGTGAACGGTGTGGGTCCGCTAGGTATTTTTCAATAAGTACCGTAAATGTATTTTCTCATAATTTCCTTACCATTTCTTCTCCAGCATACTTTATAGCAAGAAAAGCCGTGTAGCTGACCACATATGTCATCAGTAAGGTTTCCAGTCACCGTTGCTATTGTAGAGAAGTTTGGGGAGTCCTAAGTTAGACACGGACACCCGGTACCCTGACCCTTGTGCTGTTCAAGGCTCAACTGTATTTCCACCAGCACAGAAAGTCCTATCAAAGAGCCTCCTTAGACTCAGTCTTCTAACGAGACAGGAGCTGGTCCCCGTCTGGCAGGCAAGGCCGCGGCCCAGGGTCACACGTATCTCACGGAGTTAGTAAGTCTCAGAGTGCCGGTTCAGGCCACAGCCCTCTGGATCCAGAGCCTGATGTTTAATCCCTGCTCTGCAGCGCTGCTGTGAGCAGAGGACGTCCCCTAGGAGAATCTCATCGGATGCTCTAAGATTCAACTAAGAGAAGTTCTGAGTAAACTCTACGCTCTTCTCTGACAGTGAACGTGGACCCATGTCTCCTTAAGGGGAGAGGGGTCTGAGGCACCGGGGACATTCTGAGTTTCTGTGCGACCTCCACAAAGCAGGCAGCCCAACTGTGCTCCTCACGTTCCCCTCCACGAAGTTGGGAACAAGAGACTCCTACCGAAGGCCAGCACATGGGTGCAGTGGTTAAGGCGCTGGATCCCACACAGCTATCCATGGTTCGAGTCTGGACCCAGCAGGCTGAAAACCCACCAGGCACGTGTGCATGCATGCCCGAAATCCTGAGAGGAGGGTGGAGGAGGAGGGAGTGCAGTACGGCCGTCCCCTCTGGGGGTGATCTCTCACTTTCTCTCTGTCTCTCTCCAGCAAGCACGCACCCTATAGCGAAACCTTAAAGAGATAAGCAGGGAGAGCCCACTGAGAGGCCTCGTGGGGCAGGGACAGAGCAGCCACCTCACTGAGGTCCAGGCCACCGCACTCTCCCACGACCAGCAAGAAAAATGCGTCTACGTTTGACCTACAGCAACCATCCTGGTCCCCGGGAGGAAAAATTCCCCGGGCTCCGACTGACTGATAGGCTTAGCCAGAGCTGGGTCAGCCAGAGGCTGAAGCATCCAACCTCAGGATCTGGACCTTCACACGGAAACTCCAGGCACACTAAGCCAGGGTTGCCGAGTTCCAAAACTGTGGATACTTTGGGTGTTGCTCGCAAAAGCATCTGCGTAAAAGCGGGGCCGGAACCCAGGGTCATGACTGATCCCTGTGGGAGCACAAGGTCAGATGTGAGAGGAGAACCAGAGGCAGCTGTAAAGTGGGGAACATGCAGAGGAGGCCAGCCAGAGAGTGTGGTGGCTAAGGCCCTGGACCCCACACGGCTGCCGGTGTGGTTCAAGTCCCAGACCTGGCGGCTTGAAAACCATACCAAAGTCCTGAGAGGAGAATGGAGAAGGGACTGCAGCATGGCCATCCCCCTGGGGAGGGATTTCTCACTCTCCTCTCTCTCTGTCTCTCCCCGGTGAGTGCATGCGCCCTATAGCAAAGTTCTAAAAAGTGCAAAAGAAAACTCATGATAATAAGGTAAAGGACAGTAGGGAAGAGTACTAGGTTACATCTCATTCTTTGAAAAATCCTAATGAGACAGACAGCGTGTTCACTTCCCTCGTTTCTCCACCACCCCCACAGCCAGTGTTTAGTCTTGGAGATACAGTTGTCCTGCCTAACTTCCTTCTCTTTCCTTTTTATTTTGTCTTCTTTTATTTCTACAGGTTAATATAGATTTTTCTTTTAAAGAGAGATTTTTGCTGTAGGGCATGTATGTTTACCAGAGAGACAGAGACAGACAGAAAGCGAGAAATCACTCCCCGGGGCGATGGCCATGCCATAATCCCTTCTTCTCCATTCACCTCTTGGAATTTTGGGCACACGCGCACATGCACCCAGTGTGTTTTAAGCTGCTGGGTCTGGGACTCAAACCGTGGTCGACTACATGGGAGTCCAGCGAAGTAACCATTATGCCCTCTATAGATTAATGTACTAATGACTCGTTTATCTGAGATGATCCGAACTAGTTTGCAAACACAGGTATGCAGCCTCTATTTACCTTATACCGTTTTCATGCTTATCAGTCTCCCCTGGCTCAGAGCCTCGTCCATTTGAAATGAGAGGCCTTCTTAATGCATAGATGTTTTTATAGGGGATTTTCTCCTTCACTGGCATTAACACACCCTTTAGTACAGAACTAGAATATGCAATTCTGGGAGCTCTCTTGTTCTCTGACGTAATAAAGCATGACTGTGAGTGGAAAGAACTTTGGAGTCGGCCTGGAATGTCATCAGTGACTGTGCCTTCTCCATTCCCCGCGGCACAGGAAGCCCATGGGGAGGACTGGGTTACCCAGGTGGGGATGGTCAGCTCACTCGATGGGAAGCCAAAGGGCCAAGCAGCCGTAAGTGGACATGCCGAAGCCATCACAGCCCAGTGCTGGGAAATGAAGATCTAGGGAAATGGTAAATGCCTTCTTAGCATTTAGAGTAAGTTTATCTTCTTTGAAAAGTATCAGTTTCCATCGAGCTATGTTATTCCAAAGGAGTGAATGTCCAGTAAAACAAGTATTTTATTAGCGATCACCTGAAAACACGTGATGAGTGAGATCAAATGCCTGGCAGGCATGGCTTTTCTCACGGCATCGGCTGTTGCCGGACCCACCGGCACTGTCAGAATCTGACATCCTTCTGCTGAAACTCCTCCGAGGTCGTCAGTGTGGACCCATGTTGTCAGTGGCCTTGACTGTGCAGTCAGATGGCACTGCTGCAGTGGCTAGGACAAGTCGGGGCTCCTCCCGCAGCACAGGGACGACTCGCTTTCCACAAAAGTGACGTCCTCTCGGGTGGCCCACCAGCTACCTGCTTTGTCTGACAGCTGATGGCGCCACGGACTGCTCTCCCTGCTGCAAGTGTGGCTGAACAACGTGGGCCCCGCTTCCGTTAGTTGGCGCCTGTCTTTCCTGAAACCGGTACAGAAGTCAGGCAGGCCCACAGACAGGGACAAGCTGAACTTGTCATCTGCTCGGCAGTCCATAGAGAGAGATCTTTAAAGCAAGTGAACAGTTGTCGGCCTAGAAACCATCATTTAGATTGCGATCATCCAGTACTAAGGTTTAAGGCGCATTTCCCACTTCATGAGTGTGAAAAGACAGTTGGTGTTGGGGTCACTGTACCTTCTAGCTGTAACCAGTAGTCAGTTAAAGGCTGCAGTGATCACAGCCATGTGTGGGAGTGGAGACACAAATTAGACGGCCTGCTCACTTTCCTTCCACGAGAGGAAAAGCTCATCCAGTGGGACCGTTTGTTCCTGGTAACTTGTGAGATGCACAGACTCTTACGTTGGCCCAGGGTCATCGCGGTGAATGACAGCGTGTTAGAAGTTCACACGTGACGTCTGTTCTAATGCGTTGTCAGCGTCTTCAGCTCTACCTATGAGCAAGGCTATTAGGGCGATCTCTGGTGGGCAGTCGCTCAGGGGGCTGCAAAGAAAGGGCAGGAGGAGGGTGCAGGGTGAGCAGGAAGCGCCTGAGCACAGCCCCCACAGCCCCGCCGGCCACCTTCCTCTGGAGAAGCAGCTTCTTGCCGAGACTGGCCGTTTGAAGTAGGAAGTGCCAGCTGGCTCTTTGCAGGCATCGTGCCCATGCCCGGACAGCAGCCAGCCTGGTCCCGAGAGTCAGGACGTGGGGTGCTGGTGTTCCTGCTTCCTGGAGCAGGTCTGCCCTGGGGTGCTGGCCGCCTGGCTGCTAAGTAGCCCAGTGAGGCCTGGGCACTCCCAAGCATGGGGGATGCAGGCCATGGGCACTCACACCACCTTGGGCAACCTGGAACACAGACTCGCTCTCTTGCTCCGACATTTTTACCCAGCAGGGCCAAGCCCTTTTCAGTGTGCCGAACTTTACATGGTTTTTACCATAGGGCGGGCGCCACCACGCCCCAACGTGGTTTTTAAATAGAAGCCAAATAGGAGCTCTGAAGGTGTGAGATAATCAGTGTGCAGGGCCCGGCTGGTAAATCCGTCGTGTGGGCCTCCAGTGACCGCAGGCTTCCCAGACAGGCCGTGAGTGTGCAGGGCCCGGCTGGTAAATCCGTCGTGTGGGCCCCCAGTGTCCACAGGCTTCCCAGACAGGCCGTGAGTGTGCAGGGCCCGGCTGGTAAATCCGTCGTGTGGGCCTCCAGGGACCGAGGCCTCCCAGACAGGCCGTGAGCGTGCAGGGCCCGGCTGGGGCACCCGCC